AAGGTATATCCTTGGCAGCGTGCTGTGGAAGGTCCGCGGAATCGCACTATGGATGATCCATGGCAGCACGCTGTGGAAGGGCCGCGGAATTGCACTATGGATGATCCATGGCAGCACGCTGTGGAAGGGCCGCGGAATCGCGCTATGGAAGGTATATCCTTGGCAGCGCGCTGTGGAAGGTCCGCGGAAGAGCGCTATGGAAGGTATATCCCTTGGCAGCGCGCTGTGGAAGGGCCGCGGAATCGCGCTATGGAAGGTATATCCCTTGGCAGCGCGCTGTGGAAGGGCTGTGGAAGAGGTGTGTGGAAGTGTCGTTGTGGGCCTTCGTACTATAAGGATCTTATTGAAGACTTCTCATGTTTTGAACACCTGTGCAATTGCCTATCTCCGAGAAGATCTTTTTTTTTTTTTGGTGGCAGCAAAACAGTATCAAATACGCCGAGTTTGGCTGGCAACAAAAAAGATAACAGTAAAAAAGGGGGAAAGCCTAATAACACGTTAAAATTCTGTCTATTAGTAAATTCTTTCTGTTGTTTCCACATGATTGAACATACTGCAAATGGTCAACTTTACAAACATTACCATTGGGATGAGATTAGGACTTGCGTACTTTTCGGTTGTGTTTCGTATGGAAGTGCCTTAATTGCATTTCTTGAATACTTAAGTTACCCATTGGCAAATACATAAATACATTTATATGTATATAAATACTAAAAGAACAACCTGTTACACCTAACCTTTGCATATCTTTGTTTGAAGTGATGATCATGATGCCCTTACTGTGCTTTGTGGCAACGAGATCTACTGTGCGATGGTTCTTGTAAAATAGAAAGTTTTTTTGAGTTTACGAGTTTTTGAACACCTCAATTCTTGGTTTATAACTCTGAAATGTTTGAAATGCATGTCTGTTTCTTGTTATTTCAGGGCTGTCATCAGATACTACACCCAGAATACATTCCAGGTAGATTTGACATCATGGAAAGCGGAAAACTTCAGAAATTAAAGGCGAAGATGGCCGAAATTTCGTCGCAAATTGACGAGGCCGATGAACGGAAAGCATCTGCAAAGGCAGCCACGATACAAGCCCAACAACGACTGGAGAAGGTGAACATAAACGCAAGAAAACCATTTAAATTGTATCCATGATCGAGCCATACGTAGTCAAAAGATTGCCTTAAAACAGTTGCCCCTCACCCCCCCCCCCCTTGCGAGTTCTTGTTTGTAAGAGGTAACAAATTAAAAGAATGGCGACTTTGGGAGGTGTCAGGTGAATGCTTACCTTCACCTGGTCCAACCTTTCTCTCTATCTCCCTCTCTCTATATTTGATTTGATTTATTGAGCCCTTTAGCCCCATGAGGGGCTAATCTTCCAGGGCTCATTAACAATACAACACATAAAATACAAGCACTGAATACATACAATCATTGCAATTACACATTAAAATAATTGAGGTTGAGGCCTGAGGTCATTTAACTAATTATGACTAAAATCAACAATAAAACTTGTGAGTTACTAAACTGCTTCGAATATATACAATATTGTCAGGGTAAGCCTTTAAGTTCCATAAAGCTGACGTGTCATTTTCCTGAACTGCCTCTCATCAGCTGCTAATACAGTAGTCTTAACTTCACTCGGTAATGCGTTCCACAGCTTTACAGATCTGTAAACAAACATCCTCTTTCCACTATTGTTGTTAGGTTTGAGCAATGAGTAGTCGTGCACTGATTGCCTAGTGGAATACCTGTGAGACTATATATATATATCTACACATATACAGAGATATAGATAGATAGAAACCCCACTATAATTCAACCCTTCTCTACTCTGTCCTACACTTAAGTCATCTACACTGCACTACACTACCCTGTTCCATTCTACTCTACTCTACTCTACTCTACTCTACTCTACTCTACTCTACTCTACTCTACTCTACTCTACTCTACTCTACTCTACTCTACTCTACTCTACTCTACTCTACTCTATTCTACTTCCCTCCACTCTAATATCGTGTTTTTGTTTGTTTTGCCTCCAGGCTGAGGCAGAAAATATCAGCATACAAAAGAGGATTACGTTGCTCGAAAAAGAGTTGGAGGATGTCAACCGACGCCAAGAGGCGATCGCCGAGAAGTTACCCGAACAAGGAGATGAGAAGGTGAGTCATCCCTGAAAGTCTAGCTCGGGTGCCGTCTAAGCTAGTTTACTCTGTTTGTTACCTAATACTTAGCTAACCAACATCATCACTTGGCAGTTACTCAAGCCTAAATACCGCCATAGTTAATTTACCGGGTTAGCTAGCAAATAGTTAGCTAACCCAAATGATTCACTAGACAGATAACCCAACCTGGGTGCAACTCATGTAAATTTACCTGGTAATCGAGCGAATAGTTATCTGACCCGGACTGTGCTGCCCATGTAAATTTACCAGCCTTAGTTGTTCAATACTTAGCTAACCAACATCATCACTATATAGACAGTTACTCTAGCCTAGGTGCCGCCCTAGTTAATTTATCGGTATAGTTAGCTAATAGTTAGCTAAGCAATATAATCATAAGACAGTTACTCTAGCCCAAAGTTGATCGTGTCTGGTTACAGTTGGTTGATCGAAGAAAGCGAAATGAAGTATTTACTTTGTTAAAGGTTAACTAAATAGCGGCTTATTTTGAGCTAGAGTTCCACGATCTCACACGGCGGTCGGTTGCTAGGCTAAAGTCGCATTACTAGGGAGGTATCGGGTTACAGAACGTGTTCGAACGTGGCCGCGCGGGAGTCCCAGGCCGGCCCGGGGGCAACGGGTAAAATTTGAAAATAAACAAAAGTAATTGGAGAGTAAATACTCGTCAAAATAAAATGTAAGAAGTGATTTTGTTTACCTCAAATGTTATTCTTGCACTGCCGTTGCTCCACTTTGTGTACATTTGCTTCCAAATGAGATCAATTTCGGATTTCAAAAAGGGTTCACGTGAACCAAACAACTGATTTTAAGGGGCCCCGAAAATTAAAGATAAGGTTAGATTTTTGGATTTTTAGAAATATTACAGTAAATTTAAACTTTCTGTCTTAGGATTTTTTTTATTTTTTAACTAAAACTCGACTTACAGTCAAAAGAAGAGCTAAAAACGCAGTGTTTTAACTTTAAATACCGATAATTCATAATCGCGGCCATATTTAAAAAATCCCTAAGACAGAAATCTGCGGAAATCGTTGCTCTTCCAAACAAGCCCTCAATGAGGTAATTTGAACGATTTTTGGGAGTGGTTAAAATACCATGTTTGCACGCATGCTGTGCCACTTGGATATGGGGACCTGGATTTTATAACAGCGCCAACAAGAATTCTGACCTTCAAGGTCACCCACGACGACGGCAGTAGCTTCGTTACATGTTACATATTCACAATAAAATCACGGCATAGATGTAATGTTTTGAAAACGGTTCATATTTGTGGAAAGGTGGATTTTTCCTGTTCCGTGGTTCCCAAGTAAAAAAGGACTTGAAGTAGCCGGTTGTAGCGGCTTTACTGTAAATGACCGCGGGTAACCCCAGATCGAACGCCCGCTCTATTCGAATGACGTCATATCGAACAAGATTCGCGGGTTCAGGGGATTCGATCTCCATAGTAGCGGATTGGGACTTTTGGGCCCAAATCTGACCATCGTGTCATACCTTCGCCAAATGATATTAGACTTTATGACTCAAAAAGTATATATTAATCCCCCTTATCATGCAAATAGGATCCTAAATTGCAAAAATTATATCTGACTTACCAACAAACCAAATATCATCTCAATCCATAAAGGCGTTCTTAAGTTATACTGACCACAAAGTTGCGGAAACACACACAGACACACACAGACAAACAGGCAGCACGCCAAAAACAATACCTCCATTTTTCATGGAGGTAAAAAGCACATGGTTGTGTAAAAATAGTATCTTTATTCAGTAATGTGTACAGTATTTTCAGACGCATCTTGTCATGCCAGTTTGATTTTACAACAAAACTGAAATTAAAACATCAGCATAAAACAGAACTCATAATCTTAGCATGTCAGACTCTTTATGTCCAACATTAAGTTAATTGTATTCATTTTTTTAAAACTCTGAAATCTTTGAACGTTAATATTCAGATGCAGCAGTTGAAAGAAGAAGTCAAGGAAGCGAGGACTGTCATGGAGGAAATTGGGGCCAGGCTTACAGAGGTAAAGTCGTGAGGAGGTGTGGGTGGATCTTTATGATATTTAGAACGTGAGTAGTGGTTGTCCACACAAAGGTCAAGTTCGAAAATGTTCACCGGGCTACGTTTTACTCTGACGCCAGAGATTCGTGTAACCTGGGTGCCGTCAACACTGTAACTCGAGAAGCTGTGGGTGGATCTTCATGATGTTTGGTAGGTGAGTACCGGTTGTGGGAGCAAAGGTCAAGTTTGAAAATGGTTCCATGGCCTAAGTTTCTCTCCGGGGCCGGAGATTCGTGTCGGCAATTCCCTTCTTCTAAATGTCTGCTGTTAGTCTTGAATTTTATATTAAAAACACTGATTTCTGCCAACTTTCTTCTTCTGTAGGCCGGACAGAAACGTGTGGAGCTAACACGTGATATTGAAAGGACGACAGAGAAATACGAGGTTTACGAGGGGTGAGTAAGGCAGGCATTTGTAACTATAAGAGCTGTGTACCTTAACACTTTATATATACAGGTACAGGAATAGGCGTTTAGGTACTGGTACAGGGCTTTAGGTACTGGTACAGGTCCTTAGATACAGGTACAGGGGGTAAGGTACAGGCACAGGGGCTTAGGCATAGGGGTTTACGTACAGGTACATGGATTTAGGTAAAGGTGAAGGTACTTAGGTGCAGATACAAGGGTTTAGGTACAGGTAATTTAGGTACAGGTACATTTGCGTGGATACAGGAACAGGGATTTAGGTACAGGTACATGAGCTTGGATACAGGTACAGGGATTTAGGTACAGGTACAGGGGTTTTGGTACAAATACATGGGTTTGGCGACAGGTAAAGAGGTTTAGGTATAGGTACAGGGGTATATTTCATCAACCTCTTGTTTTACATGACGACACGTTAACGTCCCTTCCCTAGGCGTGCTCAGATGTTGGAAGAAACGCTGAAGAACGGCCAAGGAAAGGGCGAGGTATGGCCTAGAAAAATGTTGTGTCCCATGTTTCATTCCTGAAAAATTTAGGGTCCAAATTAAAGTAGGCAGTGATTACTAGTATCTTATTTTTCCTTTTTTAGTAGACTTATTGGGCAATCTCCAGTGGTCCAACCTGTGATCCAACTTACACTGTACAGTTTAACAAAGTAAAACCTGTATGCGAACACTCAGATTTTCAATGTCAATGTTGGAAAACCGCTTGTACACTCAGGTTTTAGATCATGAAATGATGATGGAGCTAGACTGCCCAGAATTATGCCTGGTTTCAAACCTTAACTATTCAGATATAGTACATTGTACTAGATAGACATGCTTACATCTACAGGCAGTTTGTTTATAGGCAGTTCTTATCAACGACGATAGTCGGCGCTTGAAACACATTTTAAATCTTTGTAACCTCTGCTTGAAGAGAGTATACATTATCCGGCTTTTGCGATAACATCCCGATGTTTTACTGTTTACACTTTCAGTTTTCAGTCGAAATTGTGCGCATGCAAGAGGAGATAAAACTACTGGAGGCCAAGCTAAGGGAGAAACAGGGTAAATATGCTACTTATTCTTTCCTAGACTAATATGTATACATACATATATGTCGCAGTGTGGAACTAGCTGTCACCAAGTACAGTAGGGGCATTATTACTAGATGGCTTTAAACAATGTGCTTAGAGTTAGAGTTAGATGTTCAAAAGTTGAGTGTGAGAAGGCGTTTGGTGTAATATAGCCAGCTGCCGTCGCGCCACATGCCTGCAAAACTGCTGTGTTACCCAAAAGGGCAGTTATAGCGACTATACAGATACAGATACAGATACAATACTTTAGTCGACACGAGGATCATACGATTGATATAAAAGTTGTTTCATAACATTGTGAAACCAAATGTAAAGAAGTCTTGATAATATTTTTAGGTTAATGCTATAGGTATAAGCGTTTTAATCTTTTAATTTTGCTTAAAGAAGAACGGGCTTTCAGCCATGTTTAGCTAGTCGTGAAACCAAATGTAAAGAATTGAATTTTTTAGCTTTTGAGTGCAAATGTGGGCATCCGAATGAGACACCAGATCACTATTTATTACACTGCAAATTTTATAATACTGAAAGGACCAAAATGCTGTTATCCATATCTTGCCTTCATCTTGAAAACATTTTTAATGCTTTTATTCACAACATTGCAAAGACACATACAGTGTAGTACACAGAACAGGTAAAGTACAAATGTGGTGATTGATAATTAAAAGGCTTTCAAAGTCGAAGACATCAAGGAAATTTTAGATACATGACAATAAAAGTGTTAATAGAGACATCCCAATAGTGGGCTTAGTTAAAATACTATCATTCGGTCTAAATACTAAAGTCGAAAGTTATTTACAAATCCCATTTACATAAGTATAAAGGTATTTAAGTTTGCTCATCAGGACATGGTTAAAATGCTTACATTTGTACAAAGCTATAGTCTAAGTAGTTCTGAACATAAGCAATATTTCTTAGAAGGGAAGTGTCAACATGTCAGACACAAATTGATATAATGTCAAATTAAGTACATCTTGAAAACATACTCCCTTCCGACCCACTCAACGCAAACGACGCCACATTATGTACTTTACTTCTTACAGGTAGCCCCTCCCTCCCATACTCTACTAACCGCCGTATCTTTGATATTGTGTCCAACTATATCCACCACTCTGGAAGATTTGACCAATCTCATTAATATTATGTTATAGGTATTGGTGCGCCAGCCATTTTCATTTTATGTATATGTTATACTTTATGTCATCTTTATGTTTACTCTTGTATTATGTTTTATTAGCAGCGGATTTACATAAGCACAACAAGTGCTTCCTATCCAATGCTCAAAAATCCATGTGAATAAAATAAATGATGTTTCTTCGACATTGTATAAGTCACTGTTATGTTTTGCTATGTGGATATTCGTAACTTGTTGTTAGGTCCTGTATATTGTATCGACTTGTCCTGTGTTGTATTGTATGTACCAGCGGCTGCCGCCACCAGCATTTAGGCTGCATGGCTCCCACTTGTAATGCATTGTGGCATCACCAATAAATGAAATGAAAATGAAATGAAAATAAAAAAAATAACAACGATGGTTTAAGAACGTTACCATCCCCACTACAATGAGGTTGTTGCGCTCCATCGTGTTACTTATCACTTCTGTGCCCTCTTCAGGAGGAATATGGCTGCAACGGGATTCTTCATGGGTCGTGGACTCCACAGGCACACCGTGGGTCGACAACGGAGTGACATACGATGCCGCTAAAGCCTTGGATGGAGACACTGGTACCTACTGGAACGTCATAGATACCGGGCAGAACCACAACAACTGGTACATCGTGCTGGACATCGCAGCGCCTCAAACTCTGACGCGCGTCGCAGTGAACAGCTACGGAGACACCACCCACGACATCGCAGCCTTCAAGTTGCAAAGTTCTCAGGTTGGGAGTCCGTACAGCTGGGAGGACGTCGTGTCTGTCGATAACGTGCAGGGAGGGACGGACCAGAGGCAAGTGTTCGGCGGGTTCCAGGGAACAGCGCGGTACTGGAGGTTCGTGGTCACCCGGACCCACGGGGGCTGGCAACCTTATCTCATTGAACTCAACCTCTTCAGCATCTCGCCAGGTATTTTTTTTTCTTCTTTCTTTGGTCGGGTATACAATCCGATTGCTCCAGTAGCCGTTTCACGTCTGTCTTTTCTTTCAAATATAAAGACAAGAGTTCCTAGGTCTTATACCTCCATGAAATATGGGCTTGCTTTGTCATACTCCCTTTAACATGTCCTCATTAATTATCCAAATGACATCAACGTTAACATAATATATGTATGGTGGTGTTAACCTTTAAGTAACTTACACATGTCGAGAGGTATAAAATTCCCATCATTCACCAATAAGGAGTCACAGAATTTTCACATTAATTATGTAAACTAGGACATCATTAGCATAATTGCTATCTGTTGATGTTCCTCCTACCACAGATTAAATAGATTACATGTATAAATGAACTACTAGTATTATATAAAGCACTGTAACTATAGAATTTCCTCCTTAATTATTCAAATTAAGTCCTCATTTGCATAATTTGTATTTTAGTTTGTACAACTCTCCCTCAGCTACCTACACACCAAATATGATGAAAATACGTTTTTCGTATATGGACTTATTAGCTTTTTAAGATTTCGCCAGAAAGTCTCCTGCAGTTCCAGAATAAGCTGCTAGGGGGACCAACCCACACCACTTATTCCTGACAGGAAAAGCTGTCACCAAAAAGTCAAGACCATAGCATGTTCAGGACAAAAGACACAAAAACCGGAAGTTCTGCTGCAGTACCAAGGTCATCAACCAGGAGACCCATATTTGACCTTAACCTTTGTCTTCCTAAGAATTATCAGCGTACCAAATATCATCAGAACCCATAAAGGCGTTATGAAGTTATGCCGCCTACAAAGTTGTGGAAACACACACAGACAGACAGACAGGCAGACACACAGACAGACACACAGACACACAGACAGACACGCCAAAAACAATACCTCCATTTTTCATGGAGGTAATAAGGTCAATGACCTGGACCAGACGCCTGTTACCATGGTAACTAATGTAGCAGACACCCCGTGGTGTCGGGTTACATTATGTAGCAGAAAAGAGTTGGAAGGACTGCTTAGCATAGACATGTATTATATATGTACATAAATGTGTTTGAGTAATAATAAACAGCGTAGTAGTTTGTATAAGGGTAGACCATATGCAAGTAAACATTATGGGTTTGTTTTGCAAATGTTACCTTTCTAGTTTCCATATATCAAGACAGCAAGCCCTAGTATTGTTCCGTGCACCATAGTCGATAAGCCATATGGACTTCTCAATGTTATCTCCCCTCTACTAATCGTTTTCTTTCTTTTCAGCAAGTGGCAAGTGAAAGTCTTCCACTGCGACAGTGTGGCAACTTTCATTGACTTCGCCAAGGCTGCAGGACGCGTTTATGTAGCAAAAAAGAAAAGGAAGAAATCAACACTGTTACATTTTAACATATCAGTAACAAGGTCAATTAAGATGTAGCTATACGTGGTGCATATCGAAATGGACACCCTGTGGTGTTGGGTTACATTATGGTGCAAGTGGCAGGACAGATTTTGAGGGACTGGTCAATATTCTCAATGTGTTTGAGTAAGAATAAACAGAGCAGTAGTTTGTTAGGCTTACCCATTAGAAGGTTAACATTATGTATTTGCTAAACAAATATTACGTTTCTAGACCATCTATCTATTTTCACCTGGGTTAACAAATCAACTGGTGTGAACGTAATTAGAGGGAGAGATTAGAGTTTTAACCGATGATAGACAAAAATATATGCATTATTGGGAAGATATTAGTGTTTTAAAACTTTTCGTTACTAAGTTTTATCTTTACTTCTATGCGGGACGGTTTNCACTATATGGGAGTGTTCTAAGTGAAGGCACCAACTTGGTGGCCCTATGCTGCACCTTCTCCACTAGCTTCTGATTCCCCTTGAAGTGTGGACCCCAGACTGTGTTAGCGTACTCCAGGTGTGGCCTCACCATGGACTTGTACAGCAGCGGCACGGTTACTTCGTCCAGGTTGGAGAATGTTCTCTTGACTAGACCAAGCACTTGATTGGCCTTTACTGGGGTTGCCTCAGCAGTGTTGACATGGAAACTTAAATGCTCGTCCACTTGCACCCCCAAGTCTTTTTCCACTTCAGTGTGTTGCAATACTTGGCCCCCCAGACGGTAGTCGGCTCTCTGATTCCTCTCCCAAGGTGTAGAACTTTGCATTTCCCTGCATTAAAAGGTAGTTGCCACACTGCTGACCAGTTCTCTACTGCTTGGAGGTCATGCTGTAGGGCCTCCTGGTCATCCTGCGAGCAAATGGGCCTGTAGATCTTGCTGTCATCAGCAAAGATTTTCACTGAACTGCTCACAACGTCAGGAAGGTCGTTGATGAAAATCACGAACAAGGTGGGGCCGAGAACGCTCCCCTGGGGGATACCACTGCCAACGTCTCGCCACGTGGACTGCACTCCGTTTATCACCACCCGCTGTTTCCTGGCCTTGAGGAAGCTCCTCATCCACATGAGGATGTTCCCCCTCACCCCATACACATGTCGAGAGGTATAAAATTCCCATCATTCACCAATAAGGAGTCACAGAATTTTCACATTAATTATGTAAATTAGGACATCATTAGCATAATTGCTATCTGTTGATGTTCCTCCTACCACAGATTAAATAATTACATGTATAAATGAACTATTATATAAAGCACTGTAACTATAGAATTTCCTCCTTAATTATACAAATTAAGTCCTCATTTGCATAATTTGCATTTTAGTATGTACAACTCTCCCTCAGCTACCTACACACCAAATATGATGAAAATACGTTTTTCGTATCTGGACTTATTAGCTTTTAAAGATTTCACCAGAAAGTCTCCTGCAGTTCCAGAACAAGCTGCTAGGTGGACCAAACCCACACCACTTATTCCTGACAGGAAAAGCTGTCACCAAAAAGTCAAGACCATAGCATGTTCAGGACAAAAGACACAAAAACCGGAAGTTCTGCTGCAGTACCAAGGTCATCCCCCAGGAGGCCCATATTTGACCTTGACCTTTGTCTTCCTAAGACTTATCAGCATACCAAATATCATCACAATCCATAAAGGCGTTATGAAGTTATGCCGCCTTCAAAGTTGCGGAAACACACACAGACAGACAGGCAGACACACACACACACAGACACAAAGACAGACACGCCAAAAACAATACCTCCAGGTCAATGACCTGGACCAGACGTCTGTCACCATGGTAACTAGTGTAGCAGATACCCCGTGGTGTCGGGTTACATTATGTAGCAGAAAAGAGTTGGAAGGACTGCTTAGCATAGACATGTATTATATATGTACATAAATGTGTTTGAGTAATAATAAACAGCGTAGTAGTTTGTATAAGGGTAGACCATATGCAAGTAAACATTATGGGTTTGTTTTGCAAATGTTACCTTTCTAGTTTCCATATATCAAGACAGCAAGCCCTAGTATTGTTCCGTGCACCATAGTCGATAAGCCATATGGACTTCTCAATGTTATCTCCCCTCTACTAATCGTTTTCTTTCTTTTCAGCAAGTGGCAAGTGAAAGTCTTCCACTGCGACAGTGTGGCAACTTTCATTGACTTCGCCACGGCTGCAGGACGCGTTTATGTAGCAAAAAAGGAAAGGAAGAAATCAACACTGTTACATTTGAACATATCAGTAACAAGGTCAATTAAGATGTAGCTATACGTGGTGCATATCGAAATGGACACCCTGTGGTGTTGGGTTACATTATGGTGCAAGTGGCAGGACAGATTTTGAGGGACTGGTCAATATTCTCAATGTGTTTGAGTAAGAATAAACAGAGCAGTAGTTTGTTAGGCTTACCCATTAGAAGGTAAACATTATGTATTTGCTAAACAAATGTTACGTTTCTAGACCATCCATTTATTTTTACCTGGGTTAACAAATCAACTGGTGTGAACGTAATTAGAGGGAGAGATTAGAGATTTAACCGATGATAGACAAAAATATATGCATTATTGGGAAGATATTGGTGTTTTAAAACTTTTCGTTACTAAGTTTTATCTTTACTTCTGTGCGGGGACGTTTCAACACATAAAAGAACAACAACTATGGTCAGGCCCTAAAGTAGAGTTATCAAACAAGGATTCAGGTGTTCAAAAACTCATTCCTTCCTTGAACTATCGCAGAGTGGAACTCAATGTCACAAGTACAGTAGGGGCATTATCATTGGATAGCTTAAAACTTTGAGCTAGATATTCAAGGGTTACATGTAGGTGTGATGAGGCATTCAGTGTAATATAGCCGGCTGCCGCCGCGCCGCATGCCTGCGAAGCTGGTGTGTTATGCCAAAGGGCGGTTACACCAGCCATATATATACAGAACACACGCATCTCAATAAATACCATTAATTTAGCATGAAAAACGAAAGTGAATCTGTGTTTCTTGTGTAGTTTTCTTCATTTAAAGTACTTTAAGTTGGCAAAGTCTCGGTAAAATATCGCGTTTCAGATTACTAATAATCCTGCCACTGTAGGTATTCTCCACTGTGGACTAATAAGTTCTCCGTTACTTAATTAAGGGTTAATGACCCGCCCCGAGGTGAATATGGTGTGATAAAGCCTTGTCAGTTGCTATAACCACCAAATAAAGCCATCAAAATTCACATGTATTGACATGGTCTTTATTTTGTTATATACTGCTAAATAAATTGGGTGAAGACAAGACGGTAAATATTTCTATTCAACAAGGAAACGTGCTACAAATGTCAGCAAAAAGAGTCAACTCCCCTGCAAATGGTTTGCTCCGGGCCGTGCTTTATTGTGCAACAAAGCACACTTGTGAGAATAAAACACACCTGGCAATACTTGTATCATGCTAACTGTGACATTATGGCGTCATATCAATATGGAATGGGGGCTTCTGATTGGTCAACGCTCCTGGCTATATGATAATTTAAGCACAGACAAAGCCCACAGTTTTAGCGTGGTAATAAAGTTTCCACACGGCAGAAGAACAAGTGTAAATCAGCCTAACGTTTAACGACATTGCCAGGTTACCGCACTAATTATCAGCAACATGCATTTTAGTCCTTCAGTCCTCATTTATTTGTTATGGTGACTGAAAAAGTGACGCTTTATAAACTTTAACGTGCCTCTTGTTGCAGCTAATAGGCTACAAATCTGTTCATATGTGACTGAAAAGCTGCATTGGAAAAATAAAGATTAACGTAAGCTTTCATTTACCTGTTGTGTAAAAAAATTAAAAAGATTTGAAAAGTTCTCTACTTTAAGGGCAGATTGAGAAGAGTGATTTTGTTATAGACTTCTTTCTGTTATGCTTCCGGGGGCTTTTTTTTCTTATTGACAACACGTTAAGTTACTTATATGTCTTTGATTGAGATATAAACCATATATTCACGATCACCTGTCCCACGGCCATGCATTACATTTTAAACCAGCAGTGTTTGAGCTGACGCCGCGTCTGAGCACTACTACATCGGTGATTGTAAAACTTTAATTCGTCGGCGAACGTTAGACATCCAGTTAATAAGATACGAAACAAGTGCTTTAAAAAAAGCAGTCGTTTGCGGTCATTGTATGTTTGCACAACAAAATCGTATGCAAAAAATATGTTGTTTTTTGGGGGGATAAAGTGATGATAAAGTCTTTGATTGACTAGCTATGCTATACTACATACACATGTACATTGGGATTGTCACTATTGGCATGTAGATAGTTTAGGAAAAGATAACCAGAATTGATGCTCATTAGGAGCTAGTTCACATCATTTTCAAGTGAGGAAATTAGATTCTTAACTATCAAATCTGAAATACATGTGAAGGCAGGAGCAATTGATTTCAATTGTGCATGTTTTTCTTTTATATTGACAGTTTGTCAATTTGCCATACTACATGTAATATATTACCCATAGCGATAATGTTAATCCCCAATAATGCAATATCAGGCAACACTTGCCCATATAATGGAAAGAACAATAAGTAATAACAACTAGTTTTTCAATGTTAAAATAATAAGTAGTAACAACTAGTTTTTGAATGTTAAAAATCAAAACAGAGGATGTTAAAGGAGTACTAACCTCCAGAAGGAAGTGCTATTTTCCGATACACCATGCTGCAATGAATACATAACTAGCCGACTTTTTACATAATTTCGCTTGTACGACTTGCACGGCGCATGTTTGTAAAGCGATATCAATATCAATTTTCCCCATGCTGAACCACAATCGATACATCCGGGAACTCCGGCATACGCAATACTCATACACTTGAAGTCAACATAAACATTTTTCGGCGAAAATGGTAGGAGACAAGCACACTAAAAAGCTGATTATTGAGAAATTACTTGCTTTACTTTGCTTGACATGTGGCTTGAATACTATAATATCAGGATGTCTGGCAGT